AAATTTGGTTTTATTATTAAATGGAGTATTTGTGCCTCCTTTCTCTTGTTCATTCACTGTGCATCACCAAGAAGTCTGTCTCCATCTTCTTTGCACCCTTCCTTCAGATACACACGGATAAGTTCCCACCAGAGCTCCCTCTTCTCCAGGCTGAACAGTCCCAGCTCTCTCAGCCTTTCCTCGTACTAAAGATGCTTCATTCCATTAGTCATCTTGGTGGCCCTTCTCTAGATTCCAGTGTGTCCCTGCTGTACTGGGGACACCATGAGTGGACCCAGCACTGCAGCTGTGGCCTCACTGGTGCTGCACAGAAGGAAAGGATCACTTTGTCTACCTCCTGGCAGTGCTTTTCCTAATGCAGCCCAAGAAGCTGCTGGCCACCTCTGCAGCAAGCAGCACATTGCTGGTTCAACCTATGTCAGCTGGCATCCCCAGGTCCTTTTCTGCCAAGCGCCTTTCCAGCCAGTTGGCCCCAGCATGTTCTCGTGCAGGGGGTTATTCCTCTCGAGGTGCAGGACTTCACATTTCCCTTTGCTGAGCTTCTTGAGATCCCCTCCTTGGCCCAGTTCCAGCCTCTTTGGGTCCCTCTGAATGGCAGCACAACCATCTGATGTCACAGGCACTCCACCCAGTTTTATATCATCTGTAAACTTGCTGAGGGCGCACTCTGAGGATGAGTGGTCCCCAGTTGCATTTTGTGTGGCCAATCTCAACCCTCTGAGCTCTGCAGTTCTGCCAAATTTAACTGCAGCTCCAGATCCATCCTAATAGCCCATGCTTCATCAGTTTGTCTGTCAGGGGTAATGGGAGACAATCAAAAGCCTTACTTAAGATAAACAGCGTACGCTTATCCACCAACTATGAGGTGACTACCTCATCATATACCCAGCACTCTTTCCTGTGACAGATTTTCCTGCTGCATGTAATGGAGATCTTCACAAACTTGCTTTATTAAGACTTATTAGACCACTTGATACAGGATTGCTTCTAACTGCTATGAAATGAACAGCTCCACCTGCCTTTGTAATGATCTACAAGTGATACAAAACATTGAGCTTATTTAACAGCACATACCAGATGGTTTATGCAAGGTTGAATATGACAGGAAGATTTTTGTCCAGATTGGGGGTGGGACTGTTGTTTTACTTTGAAAAAGAGGAAAGAAATGCAGACAAATGGGGGCTGCATTGCCACTTGTGTTGCTCAAATTGCACTGGAGGCTGCTTTTACAGGTCAGCAGCTAGAAGGAGCAAATGTGGTCAATGAACACTCGGTGGGTAGTGTTTAACACTGTTAACTAATTCTGAATTGCACTGAAATATAGGCTTGCTATGTTTGGATAATCAGGTAAGTTTCATCTCCAGACAGATTTAAGTTAGCCAGACCAAAACCTGAGACTGGATACCAGCACAAAGTCCCTTCCAAGATTTTCAAATCAAACAAAATTTTTCTTAAAAAGCACTTTGAATGAATATGACATAATTGAATACTTTTTCATTGCATTTTTTTTTTCATTAGTGAGGCAGAAATGTTCAGAACACACTGCTTTTACCTTAGCAATCACTTCAGCAAATACTAGCTTACCTAGACCAAGTTAATTTATAGGTTTTGATGCTATTTCCATCCTAAAGCGTTGTTACTGCAAATAAGATTTAATTATGTACCTGCATTTAAAAGAGGTGTTGAGGGAGTTCCTTCAATAAAAAGCACGGGATAGAAAGGATTTAAGTGAGAAAGTTATGACAGTTGAGACACAGCAAAGAGATCACAAAAGAAATATTTGCTATAATTGCCAAAGCTCAGAAAATGAATAAAATTTAACTCTTCAATGTGATGACCTAGAAAATAGAGAGGAGAAATAATGTGCATATGAAAAGGATTAAAGAAGAATCCAAGAAAGGAGGCTTAGTGGGTTTAACTGGGTGGATTTAAAAATTGTTTAAAGAATGATAACAGTAAAAAGAAATTCAAACTGGCTTTACCAGGAAACAGTTTTTCTGTGAAACTTCCCATGTATTATTTCAATAAAAGAAAGGTTCAGAAGAAAGTAACAGAAAATGAGCTAACTGTGAATGATCTGAAAATAGCATACATACATGCACGCACACACATTCTTTTGGCTTTTAAAGAAGAATATACAGAGAAAAGCGGGTACAATAATAACAAGGTTTTCATTACTTCTGAGGTATTGAACTTGGCTGCCAAAGAAAGAGGACTAGATGTCTAATAATTAGAGATAAAGTAGAAGCTAGCAGAGATAATGGCATGTGTTATGTAAACCAGGTAGCGTTACACACGGAGATCTTTTTACTGCTATCATAATGCCTGTCAGAATCAAAAAAGGAACTGGAAGAGGGTATTTTTCTAGAAGAGAGTGGCATAACAAAGCTTACCATAAAAATCAGAAAGACAAAGAAATTTAAAATATCCACAAGCTTCTTATGTAGCAAACATGAAAAAGTTACGTTAGCAAGCAATTATTAAAAGGAACTTCAAGCTAGTAAGACATTTATATACATTTACATATAAATATATATATATAGGATTAATTGATTTGGGGAGTGCTTTCAGATATATCTGAAGTATACAATAAAGGAACAAAGGAAGAAGTTTGGTCAGAGCTGTATTTGTTGTGTTTTTCTATTATTCACAGAGGTAACAACTACCCTCCTACAGCAGTTTTTAGATAAATTTCAAAATGCACTCAGAGACAGTGAACAAAGTCAGTCACAAACAACCCACAAAAGGCCTGTCTTTGTTGTTGTTACATGTCTGGAGATTTTCTGATACAGGCTGTGATCACATTACTCACTGCAATAGCAGGAGGCACGCGAGGGAGCTGTTCTGGTTCACCTGGCCAACGGGACCCAAACCTGAAGGTGGATGCATTTTTGGTGACACCTTGCCAGGAGGCAGCCTGGGGAAGTCACTGCAAGTGACCCCTTTGTGCCACTCCAACAAAGCCATCTGGCCTGTGGGACCCATGGGTGTGAAGTTCTGCTGCAGCCAGTGTGAAAATGTCCATCTCTTGGCCTTCCAGAGAACAGGAGGCAAGCGGGAGATGAGACAGCACTTCTGCCCTGCCAGGGAACCAGTAACGTCAGCAATCCAACCTTCACTGCCTCACCAGAGTGATCCAGGCACAGGACAGGAGCTTGTGGCTGCTGCTACAGTGTCTGAGACCCCCAGTTTTTTACTTTGGAAAACTTTCAATGTCTCCATTTTGAACCTGTAAATCTGAGCTGAGAGAGAAGATATTACAATGATGCTGACATCTGAAGAGTCAGAAATAGCCAACAATCCACGAGAATGAGAAGGGAAACAGAGTGTAGCCTTATCAGTGAAACAGGCATCATAGCTTTAAAGGAGTGACCCTGAACAGAGCATCACCTGGGCTTTTATCCAATAGTCTGAGGTCATCCTGTGAGTGTTCAGCTCCTGCTGCGTCACCTGTCTGTCTACTGTCACTTGTTGTGTCTCTTGTCACCTGTCTGGCCACAGGTGCCGTGCCCTTTATAATGCAAGGAATCAGTTCCAGTTCCCAGCCACCACGGAGACTCAACCACCGCTGACCACCAGCCCAAAAGAGAAAGATTGAGCATGAGGACTAATTAGCATGAGAAGCAAGAAAATCATTAAACCAATAGAAGGTTAAATACTAATAGGAGACTTCGCCAATGAATTGTGATTTGTTTGCTAAAACGTACATTTAGTGTAATTTAAATGGACTGCCCATGGTGGTGGTGGAGTCACTGACCCTTGGAGATGTTTAAGGAAAGACTGGATGTGACATTTAGTGCCATGATCCAGTTGACCTGGTGGTGTTCAGTCATAGGTTGGACTCGATGATCTCAGAAGTCTTTTCTCAGAAGTTAATCAATTCTGTGATTCTGTAAATTTTTGGGAATCTGAGTTGATTTGTGTAACATTTCCACTCTGCACCCTGCACAGAACAAAAACCATCTCCTGTCTAAACCGGGCCGTGTCTGTGTTTAGCATCCCTACATTGGCAACAACAGCAGGTCACCCCAAATAACTTCTGCCAGCTGTGCCCTGGCCGTGTGCCAGCCACCACCACGCTGTCCATGAACGTGGGCCAGGCCTGGCCACGGAGGAGAGCTCTCCATGAGGAACCCACCGACCTGCGGGCCAGCGCCGCGGCAGGAGCCCGCACGGGCACTGCCATCCCCGGGATGTTGGGCACACCATCCCCGGGATCTGAGCACGCCATCCCCGGGATGTGGGCACTGCCATCTCTGGGATCTGGGCACTGCCATCCCCAGGATCTGGCTACACCATCCCCGGGATCTGGGCACTGCCATCCCCGGGATCTGGGCACTGCCATCCTCAGGATCTGGGTACGCCATCCCCAGGATGTGGGCACTGCCGGCCCGGAATGTGGGCACTGCCATCCCCGGGATGTTGAGCACACCATCCCCGGGATGTGGGCACTGCCATCTCTGGGATCTGGGCACTGCCATCCCCGGGATCTGGGCATTGCCAACACCGGGATCTGGGCACTGCCAACACCGGGATCTGGGCACGCCATCCCCGGGATCTGGGTACACCACCCCCGGGATGTTGGGCATACCACCCCCGGGATCTGGGCACTGCCATCCCCGGGATGTTGGGCACACCATCCCCGGGATGTGGGCACTGCCAACATCGGGATCTGAGCATGCCATCCGTGGGATCTGGGTACTGCCATCCCCGGGATGTGGGCACTGCCATCCCTGAGATCTGGGTACACCATCCCTGGGATGTTGGGCATACCACCCCCGGGATCTGGGCACTGCCATCCCTGAGATTTGGGCACTGCCATCCCCGGGATGTTGGGCACACCATCCCCAACATGCGGGCACTGCCATCCCCGGGATGTTGGGCACACCATCCCCAACATGTGGGCACTGCCATCCCGGCCAGGCAGCGGCCGCGCCGCGCAGGCGCCCGCAGGTGCTCGCGCGTGCGCCTG